ATAACAGCATAGCGGTCTGCATCCAGAACCTAGTTAAGCCAGGGCTGGAGACCAACCAGTCCCAGGCCCTGATAAGTGGGGACCCTGACATTAAAGTTCTAAGCATTTTGCCACAAATTCCTAGCACATGGTTTCACATGCAGTGGGAGGGGAGTTAGAAAGACCAGAGTTCCCTAACTGCTAGACATGGTTTCCTAAGCTACACATTATCCTCTCACAACTTTTCTAATATACATAGTCAAAGTAACACTCTACTAGAGTAACTAGTATATCCATCTGACAGATTAACTAGAGTAACTAGTATATCCATCTGACAGATTAGGGAACTAGGACTCAGAAAGCTTTAAAAAATATGGTTCATTTGAATGAAGTTGTAAAATTGAAAACATAAAATTTAGAAAGAAAAAATTAAAAGATAAAAATACAGTTCAAATCTGTAACACTAATAAACTGCCCAGTTGGATCAAATGATTAGATATTCCAGGACCTGCCCACTTGGCATATGTGACCAGCAGCTAATGTCCCTTCAGGAAGCAAAGAAACCAGTCAAAAACTGAACTGTCAGGTTAATAGGGGGGTACAAACGACCAGGTCAAAACATTTGATTTTGTTAGGTAGAGTCCCTCTTGTGGTTATGTCCCACACAAAAAAGGTGTGTCAAACCCCCCCTGCCCATTCCGTGAGAGCACCCCAACCCCTCATATTGGAAAGGACTAATTTTCATATATAAATAGAATAAAAAGAATGACAACCTAAATATGGATAGGTGTAGGAACAGTTTACATAAAATGTAAATAGCTGCAAAATATATCAAAAGATATTTAGCATTGTTAAAGAGATATGTACATTAAAAGGATGTTGAGCTCCATTTTTCATCTGTCAGATTAGCAAAATCCCAAAATTTAACAATACATTTTGCAGGAGAGAAAAAATTACTGGTAAAAGTGTACAAGCACTATGAAGAGCAATTGGCCTTATCTATCAAATTACAAGAAACACACACTCCCCCGATGTTTAGTGATGCTGAGCACTTTTTCATAGAATGGTTGCCCACTTACTATGTCTTCCCTGGAGAAATGTCTATTTAAATTCTTACCCTATTTTTAAATAGGGCTATTAGTTATTTTGCTATTGAGTTGTATGGGTTTTTTACATATTTTAGAGGTTAGCCCCTTGACAGATACATAGTTTACAAATATTGTCTCCCATTCCTTATGTTGTCTTATCACTCCATTGATTTATCTGTTTTTTGATGAAAGCACTGGGGGAAAGAATCTCTGTTCATAAACGGTGCTGGAGAACTGGATAGATGTGGGAGGCAGGCAGGCTGAATTCCTCACAGGCCTTCCAATCCAGGGTAAAGTGCCCAGTCAGGGGAATGTCTGCGTGACTCTCCCTGCATGGGGAAATTAGCAGTGCAGGCAGCTGAGACCATCGACTAGTAGCTTAGGCTGGAGAAGCTGAGATGTCTGTCTGAGGAGATGAGACTTGCCCTCTCTCCTCTCTACTGCTTGCACCATTATCTGGCCTCTTCAGATGCTCCATTAACCTATTCCCCTGTTCACTCTTTACCCAGCCTTCCAGAGGGCTGTAATCTCCCCCGCCCTTTCATTCTTATCACTGACTGCCAACTACTAACTGCTGTGCGTTCTTGCATGTATGCTCTGTTATGTACCCAATAAAAAGATTCCTGAGAAGCAGGACAGGTTGCTGCATTGTTCTCAGGCTGCCACCAGGCACATGAAACAGTGTGTGCCCTTACAGGCTTCCAGTTTTATGCACTAAGTTTGGTGTAAGTTTCATGATTTCCCCAGCACCCACTCCTTTGTTGACTGACCACTGTTCCAGGTCAGAGTCCACCAGACACCCCACCGATAGCCACATGTGAAGACTGAAACAGGATCCACATCTCTCATCACTCACAAAAATTAACTCATTACGAATAAAAGACTGTACTTTTTTTCTTTTTTTGAGACAGAATTTCACTATGTCGCCCTAGGTCAAATGCTGTGGCATCACAGCTCACAGCACCCTCAAACTCTTGGGCTTAAGTGATTCTCTTGTCTCAGTCTCCCAATTGTCTGGGACTACAGGCACCCACCACAATGAAGCCTGGCTATTTTTTTTTAATTTACATAGTTTTTCAAAGAAAATATGTATTTCGTGGCATAAGATAATCTAAACACAAAAACAGGGTGCCACCTGTGGCTCAGTGAGTAGGGCACCGGCCCCCTATACCAAGGGTGGTGGGTTCAAACCCAACCCTGGCCAAACTGCAACAACAACAACAAAAAAAAACAGCTGGGCGTTGTGGCAGGCACCTGTAGTCCCAACAACTCAGGAGGCTGAAGCAAGAGAATCACCTAAGCCCAAGAGCTAGAGATTGCTGTGAGCTGTGACACCACAGCACTCTACTGAGGCCAATAAAGTGAGACTCTGTCTCTAAAAATAAAATAAACACAAAAACAATGAATAAATTAATAGAAGAAAACTAATTACCCTGAGTTGATCATTAGCCATTAAATATACATATCAAAATATCACTGTATTCCACAAAGATGTACAATTATTACCTGTCAAGTAAAAAGGAAAAAGATTAAATTTTAAAAACCAGGCTCAGCTCAGCACCTGTGGCTCAAGCCACTAAGGCGCCAGCCACATACACCTGAGCTGGCAGGTTCAGATCCAGCCTGGGCCTGCCAAACAACAATGACAGCTGCAACCAAAAAAAACAGCCGGGTGTTGTGGCGGGCGCCTGTAGTCCCAGCTACTTGGGAGGTGGAGGCAGGAGAATCGCTTGAGCCCTGGAGTTGGAGGTTGCTGTGAGCTGTGATGCCACAGCACTCTACCCAGGGTGACAGCTTGAGGCTCTGTCTCAAAAAAAATAAAATAAATAAAAATAAAAACCAGGCTCAGCGCCTGTAGTACAGTGGTTACAGTGCCAGCCACATACACCAGCGGTGGTGGGTTTGAACCGGCCCTGGCCAGCTAAACAACCGCAACAAAAAAATAGCCAGGCATTGTGGTGGGTGCCTGTAGTCCCAGCTACTTGGGAGGCTGAGGCAAGAGAATCGCTTAAGCCCAAGAGTTAGAGGCTGCTGTGAGCTATGAAGCCATATCACTCTACTGAGGCAACATAGTGAGACTTTGTCTCAAAAAAAATAAAAAATAAATGAATAAAAATTTTAAAAAACTGATAAGTTTTACTATATACAAATGTAAAGAAAGCTTCTAAACACTGAAAACTTTGCAAGTAAGACTCAAAGCCAATGAAACATGAAAACATCCATCCTCACAAAATATCAAGAAAATGTAAACTAAACAACAATAAGATGTCTACCTAATTTGAAAAACTTTTTTACTTTTTATTGTAAAATAATGCGACTTACAAGAAAGCTGCAATAATAGTATAAAGAATTTCTGTTTTCCCTTAATCCAGATTCCCCACATGATTTTTGCCACATTCTCTTTGTCCTTCATTCTCTCAATAAATAAATAGATACATAAACAAATGGATAGAATTTTTGCTGTCACAATGGAAATAGGGAGAAGTGGATCCAAAGATACCAACTTGTAGTTACGTAGGATGATTAAGTCTAGAGACCTGATGTACAGCATGAGAACTACAATTAATAACATTGTGTAACAGATTGGAAATTGGCTCAGAGAGTAGATTTTAGGGACTCTTAGCACAAAGAAAAATCTAACCATATGGAAGTTCTGTCCATTCGCCTGCCTGTGCTCGTCATTTCACTGTGTAGTGTATGTGACACCAAAACAGTTTGTGGTTCACCTTAGACGCGTGTGATAAAAATGATCATTTTTCTGACTTTAGATATCTTGGAGAGTAATTCCTAAATCTAAGGACTTTCTCTGAGATAGAAACAACACAATCATCAAACTCAAGAAAATAATGCCCATATAATTTGGTTATCTCATTTATAGAGTTTTGCCCACTAATGCCCTTTATCTAGCATAGGATCTAATCGAAGATCACATCTTACTTGTCATCTCTCTGTAATCTGAAACAGTTCTTTAATCTTTCCTTGTCTTCATACTTTTGAAGAGTGAAGGACAATAATTTTGCTGAATGGTTTTTTTGGTTTTATTTTGGTTTGGTTTGGTTTTTGAGACAGAGGCTCAGTCTGTCACCCTGGATAGAATGCCACGGTGTCATCGTACCTCGAAGCAACCTCAAACTCCTGGGCTCAAGCTATCCTCCTACCTCAGCCTCCTGTGTAGCTAAGACTACAGGACCCACCATACTAGTGGATAATGTTTTCTATTTTTGATAGAGGTGGAGTTTTGCTCTTGCTCAGGCTGGTCTCAAACTCCTGAGCTTAAGCAATCCACCTGCCTCAGCCTTCCAGAGTACTAGGATTACAGGCATGTGAGCCATCCTGCCCAGCCTACAGAATGTTTTTGAATTTGGGTTTCCCTTATGTTTTTTCATGATTAGACTCAGGTTATGTATTTTGACACCACAGCAAAGCTTGTGTCTCTTTAGTTCACCATAACACAAAGCACACAGCATCAATTTGTCTCATCCTGGGGATGTTAACTTTGGGCGATTGTTTAAAGGGGAGCTGTGAAGTTGCATTTTTATCCCTTTTGCAATTAATTAGTATCTTGTGGGGAGATACTTGGAGACAATGTGAAATCTTATTTCTTATCAAAAATTTTTTCATGACAGCGTTAAATTACGTTAAGAATAATTTTACAAAGTAGGTGATTTCAGTTTAACCCTGAACATCAAAGGTTTTTATACTCTAACACAGCAAATTCACTATAGGAAGTAATTCCAAAAGAAAATCAGAATTATAATTAAGGATTTTTATTCAAGAATATTTACCACAATATTATTTATGGTGTCAAAAAATAGTAAGTCCAAAAGAGAAAATACTTTACAGATGATTACTATGAAATTTTTGAAGTTGAACACCAGGTAGAATAACACCAGTACTAACAAGTCCCGTGAAGTTTCTTCAACCCATTCTGTTCCTTCAGTTTGGACTCAGCATCATTCCAAACCCAAGAATCAAAGCCAAGACTTGACCTCTATTTCTCATCTAGTTTCATTGTCCTGATCCACAGCCTCTTCATGGCCTTCTTCACTTCAGCATTCCTCAGGGAGTAGATGAAAGGGTTGAGGAGCAGGGTTACCACTGTGTAGAACACGGCCACCATCTTGTCCACAGCCAGAGTGGCAGAAGGCCTCAGGTAGATGAAGATGCAGGGCCCAAAGAACAAAATAACCACAGTGACATGGGACCCACAGGTGGAGAGGGCTTTACGCCGCCCCTCCGAGCTCCGGATCCTGAGATGGAACAAGATGACCACATAGGATCCTAAGAGGACCACACAGCTGATCACAGACAGAGTCCCACCATTGGCAACAATCAGCAGGCCAAAGAGGAAGGTGTCAGAACAGACAAGTTTGAGAAGCGGAAGCAGGTCACAGAAGTAGTGGTCAATCACATTGGGGCCACAGAATGGCAAGTGGAGGATGACAAGGACTTGGGCAAAGGAGTGCACGAAGCCTCCCACCCACGCTAGTCCCACGAGAACAGCACACACCTGCCTGTTCATGATGGTGGTATAGTTGAGGGGCTTGCAGATGGCCACATAGCGGTCATAGGCCATTACGGTGAGCAGGAAAATCTCAGTGCCACCGAAGAAATGGATGAAAAAGAGCTGCGTCATGCAGCCCCACAGAGATATGGTTTTTCTTTCAGCCAGCAGATCCGAGATGAGTTTGGGGGCCGTCGTGGAGGAGTAGCAGATTTCCACAAAGGACAAGTAGCTGAGGAAGAAGTACATGGGGGAACCAAGACTTCTGCTGGTCATGACCGTGAGCACGATGAGAAGATTCCCCAGCACAATTGCCATGTACAAGAGCAGAAATATCACAACACAAACTCTCTGCACCCCCGGGTGGGGAGAAAGGCCCAGAAAAATGAATTCGGTCACATTGTTTATGTGATCCATGAGGTCTCCACCAAGAGGCAGCAGTTTGGGTGACGTGATCTGAAATGATACAGAGCACAAGACTTCTTTTTCAAGTGGGTGAATTACATAAAAGCCCTTGCATAGCTGAGAAGCTTGTGAGCTGGATATTGAAAGGCAAGTAGGAGCTAGTTGTGTGCAGAAGGGAAGAGCCTTCGAGGAAGAAAGAGAGCAGGTCCAAATGCATGGTGTGTGGCTGGAAGGAAGGGGAGAAGAGCAAACACGAAGGCTGTAAAGAGACTAGCAGCAGCTTGTGAAGGAGTGTTAGGGACTCTGGGGTTGATCCTGCAGGCAATGGGCAATCACGAAGAACATTCATCAACTAGAAGAAGATGAACTCACTTTGTATGTAGATGGTGGACTAGTGGAAACAGGCCAGAGGGGAGGACCTGTTAGGAAGTTAGTAAGTCCCTTCACTGGACAGTATGGACAGCCACAGTAGGGTTACTGTCTCCGCATGCTATTGCTTTGCAATTTTTTTGTTTGTTTGTTGATACAGAGTTTTACTATGTCACCCTCGGTAGAGTGCTGTGATGTCACAGCTCACAGCAACCTCAAACTCTTGGGCTTAAGTGACTCTGTTGCCTCAGCCTCCCCAGTAGCTGGGACTACAGGCACCTGCCACAATGCACAGCTATTTTTGTTGTTGGTGTTGTTGCAGTTGTCATTGTTGTTTAGCAGGCCCAGGCTGGGCTTGAACCCGCCAGCCTTGGTGTACGTGGCCAGCGCCCTACTCACTGAGCTACGGGCACCGAGCTTGCCTTGCAATGTGTTTAATTATCCTTCGTCCCACTTCTCCTTGTTCCTTTTCTATCCTTGCCTTGCAGAACAGGGTCATCAACCTTTCCACATCCCATTTCGATATTCAGAAGAGAAGTCACTGGGAACCTCCCTTGACACTCAGCACCCTTTTATTTCTGTTTCTCCTAATTCTCTTTCTATTCTTGGTCACTCGGTGACCTTGTTCCTTTCCACAGGTCCAGCTCAATCCATGCCCAATTCTCCCCTTTACTGGTACCTTCATTTTCTCCAATCCTATGACTCCTGGTAATCAGAAAGGTCCACACTGCCCCCTCCCAGTCCCAACTCACGTTCTGACACTTATGTCTCCACAGCTCAGGCTTCCAGCACTCAGGGCACCACCAGGACTGCTCATTGACTGGTTGGCAGCCCGCCCTAGTCCATATTGGACTTTATCCATGTGGCTGAGGTCTGTGTGTGTCAACATGGCCCCTCATACGGGCAGACTGCAGGACAGCCGAGCTGAGGAGCCAGATGACTTCCACTCACACCACAAAGCTTCCAGTGACTGGACCAGGCTCAGGGGATTAGACCACCCAGAGCCAGAAGGAAATCACAATAGAACAAACAGTTACAGGAATTGTTAAAAGGGCAGGGACCAGCTCTAGACTGTCAGATCAGCTGGGGAATCCTACCAAGAGGCTGTTCACAGATGAAAGTACTATTAGCATTCTGGACTCCCAGGTTCACATTCAGGTTTTTTCAGGTAGTATCCATGAAATATGTAGAAAGCTTTTTAACCATCAACATGCAGGTAAGACCTACCTCACAGGCAGATGCCATGAATTCACTCCCAGCCCCAGCCCAGGATCAGTTAAGTGCCAGGCCCATGGGCTGCCTTGGATTTCCCTCAGAGATTGGAAATCCATCTCCCCAGTCTGCAGCTCTGCATGGCCAGTGGCCCCGTCATCTCAGAACATTCTGGAATCACAGCATTTGACACACCAAATTGTGATTACTTTACGTGACCATGTGCCCCCCACTGGAGTGTGAGCTCCCCGATGGCAGAGGTTAGAGCTTGCTCCCCACTCAGTCTCCTGGGCTTAGTGAAGGGCCTGCCAGGAAAGAGCCTGCAGTGCCCACAAACAGAATGAATGATCCGCGGATGAAAGTCTTCCCTAACCTTCTCTGCACAGTGTTTGGTTAGTGTAGGTGTTCAGTAAATATTGAAAGAACAAAGGTCCCCAAGGACAGAGGCCACGTCTTCTCCATCCCTGAATCCCACTTGTGCTTGCCTCAAAGTCAGACAACTCAAGAGCACTTTGTAAAGTGTCATGTGCTCCTGCCACCCTCTCCTTTTCTTTCTAAGTAGAATCAGTCATCACATGGAAAAGAAGTCCACGGTCACAAAACAAAACTCACCCAGGTGTCTCTGTGGCTCTGTTGTTCTCAGCACAGTTACCCTTTCTGTTCTGACCATGGAGATGGAAATAACACCCTGAGACCTACTCTGGCTCATGCGCGATTCCCAGTTAGCCACTCAAGAAACATTACCAATGGCCGGCTACAAAACAGAGCTCCTGCCTCGCAGGGGTCCCCAGGTGAGGATCTGCTTCCTGCAGCCTCAGGCTTGGGAATTTAAAACAAGAGTAAAGTAGACTTGCCTCCCAGATACTCCACAGAGAACTAAGGACCCTGGCAGCTCAGTCTTGAGTTCCCCTAACTTAAGGGACACCAGGGAGAAGGCAGGTGATCAGAAGAGGCTTGGTCCCCCGAGGGCCATACCCTTTCTGCTTCCTAATCAAGCAGACTTCCTAGAGGGAAGCAGGACCTCAAACTCCTCCCAGGAAACAGCTTGCGCAAAACAACCAGAACCTGTAGGAAAAGCTCAAACTTTCTTGTAGGAAACAACTCAGAAATCAGTAGGAAATGGGCACAAGTTAACCTCGCCCAATGTCCTCAGAGCTCTTACTCTTCATGGGGCTCTTCAGAGGTCAATGAAAGATGCTCCTGCTTGTCATGAACTCCATCATGTGGCTTCACATAAAATGACACTGTTCGAAAGGGTGGGTCCAAGGGACAGGTGTCACAAATGTCGGGAAACCGAAATGGCTCATCTCCTCGCCACTGCTGTGGACGTAGTATAGATCCATAGTTCTCCACCAGCGGCAATTTTGCTATCCTGAGGACAGCTGGCAATAGCTGGAAACCTGGGCTCTAGTGGGGAGGGGCAGGGATGCTGTGAAATCTACTATTTGGATTTTTGAGACCATCGTCTGCCAGAAAACTAATAAACTTCTCTTTCCAATCCTCAAACCGCTTGTCCCTCTTCTTCTGATGCAGCCTCAGGGAATCGTGCCGAGCTTCCAGTCACATTTACACATTTCTCTTCCGAGCACAGGGAGCAGCTGCTCCTCTCATGTAAAGGGGCATATCTGCAAAATTTCCAGCAGCTTTTATTCATAACAGCCAAAAACTGAAATCAACCAACAGCCAGCAACCAGAGACTGTGTGTGTTTAAACTGTAGAACATTCGTAGTAAATAAAAAGAGCCAACTATCGCAACTCACAGTGTGGATGAATTTCAAAAACATTAGGTTGAGAGAAAGAAGCCAGATGCAAATGATTACATGATTTATGATTCCATTTATACGAGTTTACAAACAGACAAAACTAGAAATTAGATGAGCGGTCGCCTGTGGGGGGGTGGGTGTTGCCTGAAAGCAATCATGAGAAGCTTCTAGAGTGATAGAAACAGTCTACATCTCGGTTGGGATGTTGGCTGTGCAGACATAAAATTGTCCAAACTCACTGGACTGGACTGTCTGTACATTTCACTGAATGTAAATTGTACCCTAATTGCTGAGAAACCAGATTGTAATGTTCTCACCACAAAAATGATCACTTTGTGAAGTGGTACATTTGTTAATTAGCTAGATTTAGCCATTTACATATATACAACGTGTATATATTTCAAAATACATTGTGTGTGCAAAATACAATTTTATCTGTCAATCTTAAAAAATAAAATAAAAAAAAATTTTTTTGCAGTCTTTGCCTGAGGCTGGGTTTGAACCCGCCACCTCTGGCATATGGGGTCGGTGCCTTACACCTTTGAGCCACAGGCACCGCCCAAAAATAAAATAAAATTATTTTTAAAAAGTAAAGCCCAACTGGGATCGGGGACAACAGCGGGTGAAGCATCGGATCGTGGAGTCAGAAAACTTGAACTTGTGCCCAGGCTTTGTACTTGACTTCTGGAGCCGAGATTGCCAGTTACCCCAGCATTTATTTTTTCCTTCTTCCTTCTATAGTATTAGAACCCCTGAATTTTTATTGAGGTACATGGAGAACATGCCTTAATAAAAATTACATTGTCCAGACTCTTTTGCAACTTCAAGGACAGGGACAGGCACTTATTTTTGTCCTTCCTCCTTCCTGATGCCAGGAATGCCGTTATTATGACCGGAGCTCCAGTAGCCCTTTTGGGCTATGCAGTGACCTTGGGAATAGAAGCTCTAAGGGCTTGAAAAACATGATAGAAAGAGAAACTTTCTACCCCAAACTATTAACTTTCTGACTTCTACCTTGGTTTAAATTCTGTTCCCTGTAGGTAAGACTTAATCTAAATGATGTTTCAATCTCTAAAACTGTACAGTAGGAGTAATTAATTCATACTTCATTGACTTCACAGGATTCCTGAGACTCTAGTGAAGCAATGGATGTGACAGGGCTTTGACACCCGCATAAGTATTATGCAGATATGCGGTATATCAATTACTCTATAATAAATTCAAACATGGCTTTCAGGTATTTCCATGTAGTTTGTAAAGGTGTTTTTTTTTTCATTTCAAGATACTATATTAACACCACTGCTATATCTTATATAAAAGTAATTTAAAAGAAATGTTTTCCCTGGCTGCTCCAAGCAATCTCACTTCCGGCTCAAACCCTTCCCAAATGATAAAAATATATAATGTTGACATCACTTTGATGTCTTTCCCACTCAGCACCTATGGAATTCCTGCCATCTGTCACTCATCTCACTGGAAGAGAAAATAAGTTGCTTTAAAATATACTATTTTTGGCTGGGTACAGTGGCTGATGGGAGGCTGAGGCAGGCCTGGGCTTGTCTCTACAAAAAATAATAATAAAATGTTTAATTAGCCAGAGCTGGTGATATTGCTGCTCACAAGGCTGAGGCAAAATGGATTGCTTGAGCCCAGGAGTTCAAGGCTTCAGTGAACTATGATAATGCCACTGTA